CGATATGGGTGGGAGCGGCGACAACGGCGAGTGCGGCTCGTTCTGACGGCAACAGTAGTTGTTTGGTGCCTGGGACCTTAATGTCAATTTTTATTATGTTTGAGATGCTTTCTACTCCTACTTTGGTGAACTTTAATAGTAGATGTTAGTTCTTTTGGCAAAAAAAACTTATTATTGTACTTTGGCTCAATTTCAGTTGATTTAGCAGCCGGAATTCTGCTGTTTTTCATACTCAAGCTGTTAAAATTTTACTGACTCTATCCACAAGTATGTCGTCCTACAAAGCGTATTGTCAAACTTGTATAACTTTTGTACTATAAAAATACGTAGACCTGTTCTCATTAGCAAGGGTCTCAGTTCTCCCATAAAAATATTTCCATCATTTGATTATGTTTTCCGTTTTTCTCTAGTACTAGCATATAAACATAAAAATTCATGGTTAAAGGCAAATACACCATGTCAATATCCAATACGAAATGCACTTGCGAGCAGAGAGATCATCTATCATCGTCTCAACCAGCAGTTTTTTATTAATTTATAAGTTCCTCGTTGCTCTATATTATGAAAGCTCGTGCATGTTCCCAGAGAGCAACAGGCAGATAAAAAGAGGGCTAGCTACTGCATCCCATGCACGCACGCACGCACACACACAAAATGCGCTTCACTTTACATGGTAGTACAAGCCTTTTCCCCTCGACCCCGAGCCATAAAAGGTACGTACAGTACTAGGATCAACCATTGAGCAGCAGTACAAGTCGATTTTCCATTTCTAGCCATCGTTTCCTGGAACCAAGTACATTTTGTGGGCATATATTAGTACACGACAGCAGCACTAAAACGAGAGCAGCAAAAATCACCCGTCACCAATATGCCTCCGGTTCGGAATCTAGCTTTGCAGCATGCTTGTCTGCCCCGGGAAACATTTGTGATCCATCAAGAACAAACCCCCACTACCGCAAATGCTCACTCGTGTTTGCCCCTTTTTTCCTTGACCCAAATCAGCTCAGGTTGTGGACATGGGGGAAAAGGGGTATGCTCCCCCCACAGAGCCAGCACTGCAGGCTTGTCAGCAGTGCGGATTTAAAGTAGCATGGCGACGGCGACATGGCGTGCCACTGTGAACGGCCCTACCGGACGGGCACCGCCGGTGTGTGTGTGTGCGTGTGTGTGTGTGAGGAGCCGAAAGGGAAGGGGACGAAATGATAGGTGCGTGCACATACATGTTCCAGTGGAATGCACTGCCCTCACGAAACGGAAGGGATCTTTCTTTCTTTCTTTCTTTCTTTGGATGCCTCGGGCGCCTACTATGTACCCATCTTTTCACCCTAACGTCGGGGCAAAGCGCTGTGGGAGCGAACCTCCGTCGTGTCGAGACGCATTCGATCGCCTGCTTGCTAGCTGCTAGTGCCGTAATTTCTGCCAGGATATGATAGGAATATCCGGATCTATCTATCTCTCTGGTAACGGTGTGGTGTGTTTTTACCTGACCTGAAGTGCGGCGTGTGTAAGGAAGGAACCGATCGACGCCCTGAGGCGACGGGTTGTGCTGGTCCGAGCGATGCCTGAGAAGCAGCTAGTGGTGGGTGAGCATTTTTGGCCCTCACGTCGGAGTTGACGTTGTTCTTGTGCACGGCAGCGCGCTGGCCGTGCTTGATTAGCGTTGCTTGGCCCGTTAAGGGAAGCAATCAGCTGACCCCTTCGTTTTCAACCTGCCTCGATGGCATCGATGGTCGGGCGGGGATTAGGTTCCGCCGATTTGACCTCACCAACTTTACTCCCCACACCGCTACGATTCATTTTCCTTTCCACCGCACCCATGCGTGTGCCCACGACGCGTTTGTTTCGTGCGTGTGATAAGCGGCGCGGTCCCGTGCGCGCCGTTAATGATTGCTTGTAGAGGGCGCGGCGCACGGGTGCGAGCGACCGAGTGCTCTCGTGCCGCCCACCTGTCGGCCGGCTAGACCAAGGCATGCATGGGCATGGGGGGTCGACGCCGCACGTGCATATGACCGTGCACGGCCCAACCTTCCCACGTGGAAGCAGTCGCCGCATTCAAGCGGCGGACTGCTTCGCTCGCCTATAGCTCGCCGCGCCAGGATAGAGCACGGGGTGGACCCATGCATGCACGTAAACTTGCAGAGGTAAATGCTCATCAGCGGATCCGACCGAGACCGGGTCCAAGCATTATTTCATCTGATCTGATTCCAAACCCGAGCACGTAATAAGGACTTGGGTCCAAACATATCCTCCAAAGCCATGACATAGGTTGAATCATCACACGCAAACGGCTAGGATTGTGCAGTGGCGAGGAATTTCGATCCTGCGATTTGTCTTTGTCCTGACACAAAAGTCTAACCTGCTCTAACTTGTAAAACAAGCAATTCGAAGGTTACTGCGCTGGGTCTCTAACCAAATTGCTACTTGTTGTAAAGCAAAACAAGGACAAGGACGGCAGATGCCGCTCGTCCTCCTCCTCCAGCCCACGTCCAACATGCAAGTAGCAGGTTACGTGAGCTCCCGGGGCGGCAGCAAGTGGCACGACTTACGCGCTGCGCGGCAGTAGCCATGACAGTGGCCGGTCAGAGCCTACAGCGGGCGTACGTTCCCCCGGACCGCCCAACGACCGCCGATCCAGCCCCGGCTTTTCCAATGGAGAGAACGTGGCCGCCGCGTCTAATCGGGGCAGCAAGTTGAGCATGTCGACGCGTCCGGCTTGCATCCCTAACTGCGATCATGAGTTCATGACCTTCATTTCATCCAAGGCTGCAAGCAAGCTAACCTAACAACTACTACAATACCAAATCCGGCGTTTCCACTTGAAAGGGTTACTCCAGCAACCGGGCCGTACGTTTATGCCATGGTGGGAAACGACAGAGATGTCAAGAAACACTGATGTAACTTGAAAGCACGGATCGCAAGTAAAGAACTAAAAGTTAAGTGCATGGCTCACAACACGTAACGGCAAAAGGCCAGACCATAGCATAAAAGGATGAACAAATAGATGATTAATGAGAAACAAGGTTGGGCAGCTGATGAACAGCTAAAAATGTTGGCTTGTGACTGTCACAAACTATTTACTACACTTCAATTTGAACCAGACTTACCCCAGCTCTCAAATCGTCGTTACCCCTAAAGAGTGTTGTTCCCGTCATCAACAAAGAAAATGGGAACATTGTTGCTGGGCAACTGTACTACTCAAACTTAAACTGAAATGTAAGTACCTGATACCAGGTACGAGCACGTGGAAAATCAAACATTTTCGACGGCAATTCTAGTGACGCAAGGGTGGCAAGTTAGTGGCAAATTTCTGTCCCAAAATAAACTGAAGCACCAAGTTGCCATTCTTGCCAAGTAAAGTGCCATCCTCGCATTACTAAACTTGCCATCGAAAATGTTCGATTTGCCATGTACTCAGGTACTTATCATTTCCCAATTTAAACTGGCCTAGCCAAGTACAATGAAAATGCGAACATTGGAGTACCGTCTCAACTAACCTAGACAAGTACAATGACCTGGGACAATTTTGCTATACAGGTGTGACCAATGAAATCATGTTGATACTACATGTGCATGAAAAATACCACACCCTCCGATCCATATTACTTACAAAACCAGCGACAAGTAATACAGATCAGAGGGGGTACTGAAAATTGGCACTCTATAAAACAAGAAGACATGATAATACCCATAAATCAGCAGCGTGTATAAAAGAATTGACAGAAAAACTTCTGTTCCAAGCAAACGCAATCAGATGGCAGAACACTATCATAAGGGGGGAAATGACACTGCTCATATGCTCACATTAGAAACTATATACTGTTGGTGGCCTTGTATTGATGCAAAATGTATTTTTGATAGTGGCCTTGTATAAGGGAATGGAGGGAGTACAAAGAAATATAACTCCTGCCCAAGACTTGCACCTGAATGCTAGGAACCACAAAATAGAAAAGGACAACTCATGTTCATTCAACAGTAGAATACTCATGGGCATTCTGTGTGAAGTTAGCAACCTTCAAATGCTTACAAGAAATTTCATTTGCTTCATCAGGACATAGCCACACACACAAAAAAAAGAACTTACTGCACAAACCTCATTCTAAGGAGCAGCAACCAAAACGAAACAGGAGCACTTTAGGAGAGTTTCACAATCATCAAAGGTGCAACCAGCTGGTTGTCGCTGAGGTGCTGTTAAATCTCTGGTACATAAAAACCTTGTTCACATGGTGCTAATCTGCCAACAATCCAAATTCAAATGAACAAAATGACACAGTTTACATAAATCAAGTGTGCGGTGGTACTGCTAAACAGGCGTGCTACCATCAAAAAGCATGGTCATGCAAACAGTAAAACTTCCTCAATCCTCATTGCAAGAATTATGACCATTAAATAAAATTATCTACAACTTTTTGCTTGTATCTTTGGCACTAGCACATGTCTACTATCAGGTATTTTATACGATAAGCATCTATCAGGCAACAGGATTTAGCCAACACTAAGTTCTTATCAGTAACTACAAATAGAATATACATTATTATCCAGGTTTGCTAAGCATCCTTTCAAAGAAAAAACTGGCAAATGATGAATGATTAAGTTGGAAGTATATCACTTCGGTACCAATTCAAATAACACAAAAGGGAGCACAATATCACAAAACATAAATATTTCATTCTCAGGGTTATGGTTCGTACAAACATGTAAAGGCAAACATTACCAGATAAAAGCAGCTAAGCCTGAAAGCAGCTGCAACAAGGAAACAGCTCAGGAATCGTCAATTACTCAGATCAACTGCCACATAAACATACAGAACATTAAACAGGTATCATATGAGCACACTTCAGTAACATATAGATATGCTCTTGAAATATAGAAACGTGTAAATGCATTGCGAGAAATTCCCCAGCCTAGTGATTGGCAGCTTTCTTTGATCTATATAGTTTCACGGGTCTTCTCCCGAAGCTCAACCCTTCAAGTTTATTTTTATCAGATTCTTCTCAGCCAGCCTATGAAACTCTCTTCCTAACATCAGCATCCGAATCAGATTCACGGTCCTTCTCGACATCTGAAGACGGAGTAATAACATGCTTTGATTTCTTTGCAAGAGATTCAAGGGCCCTCTGTCGAAGCTCAATTTCAAGTTTGTTTGGGTCAGGTTCTTCTCTCGGAGTGTATGAACCTTTCTTCCCAACATCAGCGTCTGAGCCAGATTGACGATCCTTCTCAAGATCTGACAGGGGAGAACCAGCATACTTCAATCTCTGTTTACTGGCATGACGGTCCGCCCTTCTGCGGTGCCGTTCTTCACGTCTAAGGCGCCTTTCCTCTTTTCGCAGCTTTTTCTCTTCTCGCCTCCTCTTCTTGGACTCATCAGAGTCAGAATCAGAATCAGAACTATCATCATAATGCTTCTTATGCTTGTGACCCTTTTTATGTCTTCGCTTCTCAGACTGGGATCTGTGTTTCTCAGATTCTTCTGAGCCCGAACTGCGACGATCAATGTGTTTACTGTCATATGTTCTTTTCTTAGCTTTTTGAAGAGGACTTCCACCATCTGATTGGGAAGCTTCATCAACTTTACCAGAGTATTTCTTCGCTGCAATAGCATCATAAGAAGCACCATGTGAATCCGTTTTGGCACGCTCATTGTTAATCCCATCCTTTGGATAAGAGTCGCCAGCTCTACTAGGGGACTGCCGTTTCACGCGAGAATCATCAGGGGAATCACCCTGGCGTTTCATTCTTCTACCATCAAGTGCATCTTCTGATGAATCTGATAGCGGATTATCATATTTCTTGGGGACATCCTTCCCGCCACTAGAATAAAAAAAACTGTTAGATTATTACCAAAAGAAAGGATGCATGCTGCTGAGGAGATGCTTCTGACAGGTTTTACCGACTGACATCATCATAATTACTCCTACAAAAAATTAAGACGTTGATGCATGCAGGAAATCCTTTTAAGTGGAAGTTTATCATGCATAATATAGCAAGTACACAAGGTGTCTGATGATAATGGTGCAAATCTGTAACCCAATATTCAGTGTCTAAATAAGAAAGAAAAGAGCATTGAACCATAGCATGTCAAAAGAGCAAGATTGCTTTCTTAATGCATAAAAACTAGCAATCTTCAAGAAGGGGATAAGTACAGGAACATACTCCTGTCTTGATCTGGAAGAGGGTTTTTCTCCAGGGACTGAGTTGTCAACGTTGACTTCCTTTAGATGCAGATCAGCTGAGAAATCCTTGGATATCCTGCGTGATGAATTGGCCTTCCGTGCATTCTCCCTAAACGTGAACAAAAGATAAGTATATATAGACAGCGAGGCAAAAAATAATTTTACGAAGACAAGACATGAAAGAACATATTCCAACCTTGCACGCCCGCTTTCTTCCTCGTCTCCACTGGTATTTGTGCTGTCCTGACTGGGCATATGTTTCCCAGTGTCCTTCAAAGGACTGCCAAAATAAGGTGAGAAAGTTAGCATCCCAGTTTAGACACTGTTAGTGGGAAAAAAATAGAATTACAAATTAACATAGACAAGTACACACCTGTCACGTGTGGAGTCTCTTTCTGCATCATTAGTAGGAGACCTCAAGGATTTTGTGAGCCTACGGTGTTCAAAATCCGGTGACCCTCGGCCACTCCTTTCTTGGTTCCTGAGGCAATACTGGGAGTAAGACAATGACTTCCCTGGATAACTACAACAAAATATGTCTGCATTCATCATGCATGCTGTGGTATTACCTTTGAGCCAGATCCCTGCCTTTAGTGGAGGGTGCACCGTTTGTTCCCTTTTCTGCGTCCCTGCTCGAACTCCTACGTGAACGATTTGGACTCCTGCTGTGTGGACTGCTACTCCTGTAAATTCCAGCACAAGTGTAAATCCATGCAGCACAACATCGGGTACAAAGAAAATAAGAGAGCAGCATTACCTCCTCCGCGGTGGAGAGACTGGAGGATTTGCAGAAAGCGTCCTAGTTGAAATTGGGGATTTTCTCTGGCGCTTTGGTGACCTCAACTGCGGTGAGCGGTGAGGTGACAGGGACTGCCGTCTTCCTGGAGAACGTGGCCTATGTCTTCTAGGTGATGGGGACCGTGGCCTGCGTCTTAGAGGTGATGGGGACCGTGGCCTGCGTCTTCCTGGTGATGGGGACCGGTGTCTATCTGCTGGTAATCTGTGTCGAGGAGGTGATCTGCGACGCGCAGGAGATGGTGATCTCCTAGGTGCGCGAGCTGGGGACCGACAGCGATAAGGAGATGGTGATCTACGTCGCCCAGATGGTGGAGATCTTCTCCTAATGGGAAATCTCCGCCGAGGTGATGGGGATCTAGGTACTGAAGGTGATCTTCTGGAATACGGTGACCTCCGCCTAGACATTGAAGGAGCGATTCTTGGGGAATGCCTTCGGGGGGAAACAGAACGTCTAGGTGAAGCTGAACGTCGTGATGATCTTTGCCTGGAAGGGGATGGAGAGCGCCTCCTTGGAGAAATAGACCGTTGCCTACCACGGGGCGACAAAGATGTGCTCCTAGGTCTTCGATGTTCCCTGAAAATAAAAGAGAATAAAACTGCCTATAAGCAATGGTTACAGTCGAGACAGAGAAAACTTACTTATTGTCGTAATACATAGGACTGCTGACAATACACATGCCAACACAAGCTAACACAAATCAAGATTAAACGACTACTGATCAGGTCACACAAAGATGCCTTGTTCATTCCTCGTTAATTAGGTCACACTGCTTTGCAGGACCATATTGTTTAATTCTTTCGAAAAGATGTGAAATGCAAATGCCTACAAAGAGCAATCCTTTGGGTACATTAGAAACCTAACATGCGAGGAAGATAAGTATAGTCAAAAGAAGACACAAACTTGTAGGAAATATGCACAAAACATTAAAAACATGGGGAATGATGTACATTCCCACCACCTGGATTGAAGTACGCACGGGCTAGAATTACAAGTTTGTTTCAAAAAGATGGTGCACATTTCAAAGGATGAAAATGATTTATCATGAAGAACATGACAAAACAAGGAAGGGTTCAGATATAGGCATTCTTGATGAGATTATTGAAAATTTAAAATACAATGAAAAATGATAAAAACTCATGCATAGAAGAATTGCTAGCTAGAACACAACCAAGGGCCACCAGATGACAGACAACGAGCTCAAAGAAGAGATTAGAAGCAACATACAGAAGTACATTCTGCAAAAGTAAAAAAAAACACTGGGAAGATACTGCAAATTAATCTTATCGGTATAGTTGTGGTAGGGCATAGATGAAGAATGCACTTATTCCCAAGTATTGATGGTGTTGTTCTTATGCAGAAATTAAAGACTTCATTAAGGATTCCAAACAAATAGTTAACTGAATGAAGGAATGGAATTGAATTTGCCCATTTCGCACTGCCTAATTGTGGCAGGATTTTTTTTCCTTCACAGCTGTTGAGGTCATCACCAGAACATGATATAATAGTTAATTGGAGGAAGAGATGCAGTGATGTACAAGCTGAACAAAAGCAAAGAAGAAAACACAAAAATGGCAATTCTTGGACAAGAAAAGCAGAAAACTTCATCGATGCAATAGTCTGACTCTGAGAATAAAAAGGAATTTCATCTCAAGGACGTGCATAATATGCATTATATGAATTTTTTCCTGACAAAAAAGTCAGGGGGTTTCAAATGTGGACATTCTACAAATATTATCTTATCTGATAGAATGCACTAAAGAGTAGTCAAAGTTAATCAAAGAAGTTAACTAACCGGCTCTTTGTTCTCGAGCTATGCTTCAAGTCCAGTTCCTTTTCTTTCTCAGCATCGACATTGGGATTGTTTAAAGCAGAGCCAAGTGAATCACCATGAAATCTTGAATTACCAGTATCCCCGGCCTACAGTAGTTGGAGGTAAAGAATGATATGAACCGAAATAATCGGAGAAGCTATCTGAGTATCATCAGAAACACAAGAGGTCACAGAATAACCATTAAATCAGTGATACAAGGAAACTGGTCAGAAGGAATTAACTCACCATCATTTTGCGTTTATCTAGTTCCGTGTCCCTTCCATCTTTCTCTCGCTTCTTCTGGATTTCCTGGGCAATTCTAGCCTCTTCCGCCTAAACACAAGACGGATGGATTAATAAGAAAACTCTCACTTTTCTGCAATTTAAATCCCACAACTCCACAAGCAACTATAAAAAAAATGTAAATACCAGGTTCACAGGATAGACAGGAAGTACTAAAGGCCAGAGTAAAGTATGATGTTTTGAAAAAATCACATATGAAAGAAATGTAATGAAGTCTACCACCACGTACAACCATTGACTAGCGTTACAAACTAGACACAACACTAACTAGATAGTGTTCTATGGGCAATGTCCGAGAAAAAACATAAAATAAGGTCGTCTGCAGTTTCAACCATAATGATACGTGTTTGTTTCAGTAAAAATAAATGAGAGCAAAAAAGAGGAAATGCTATTAAATTCGCACGCAAGCCTTGTGTTGTCAGACATACAAAGCAATCCTTGACATGGAGTAGGTGGCCAGGTGGCCGGGCGTATGGAGAACTCCAAATGTACACATATCATAGGAGAGGAATACAGATTTGGCGCATACAAGTGATCGAGGAAGCATAGTGCACCTTCAAGGCAGGCATTGGGTGCAACCATGGAGACACTAGGAAATTGAGTTATCTCTAGTTAGGAGTTCCTTTTAGTTTAGGAGAGCTAATGCGGATAGAAAGGACATGTTTTAGGTAGTTAACATTGCAATTCTGGTTCGAATCCTACTTGTGTATCAAGTCAATTGTCTGATTTTATATGGGAGAGGCTGTATTGTTTTAAGCAAGCGATATAATGATCACAAGTTATCTAAGCCTTACAACAACCCTTGCACGTCAGGGACGAGCCCTGGAACTAGCGCTCTAAACGAGCTGAGCTCAAGCAAATATACCTTGGCTCGGCTCGAGCTCAATGCAATCCTCAGCCCAAATATGGCCTCGAGCACGGCCTATTGACATAACAGCTCGAGTTCGGCTTGCCAAAAGCTAGAAATAGTTCGATCCCAGATCGTTAGGGCTCACGAAAACTCTCGGGTAATATTATAATTTTTAGCATATATATTGCCAACACGCTAGGCATCGACTGTCGTATGCCTTCACAAGCCACTCTTTTATAGATAGTCCTCCAACCCCACTCTTCTACAATAGGTGAGGTGGTACTAATCTACTCAGCCCTACTGTTGGTTACATGGACTAAGAGATGGGCTGATGCACAAGTATAGCTACAAGGCCATGAATGTTCTTCGGCCCTCCAGTCATTGCTACGCGCAGCTTTTCTCTTACCAGACTAGGCTTAGCTTCTTGTGAATTGCTCACATTCTGATGATTTGATTATTAGGCTTGGAGATATTTGGGCCACACCTACGTACAGAAGAACCGATCGAAGAGAAGCTTGTCCAACATCTTCTGAGATGGTTTGGGCATATTCAGCGCATGCCTCCAGATGCCCCAGTGCATAGCGGAGGATGCCCCAGTGCATAGCGGCCGACTAAATTTGGGACTAAAGGTTGTGTTGTTGTGTAAAGAGTTAATGTTTATCAGGTGGCTGCATGGTAGTATTATACCAAGCCTTATCGAGCGTTTTCAAACCAAGCTTCCCAGGCTCCCGAGCATAAGGCCAATCTTGAGCTCGGCTTGTTTATGCTTCGAGCCAAGCTCGAATATGTGACGAGCTCAAACTTTTCCAGCATCCTTGCATGTCACCGATTGTTGATGGTGAGTACAGATCTTCTAACCCTTACCCTACCAAAATTATCCCACTCTGAACCAAGGTTCCTAACATTATAGGCTTTTTTTAAAGAAAGAGTAACTCAAAACAACAATTTTGCTCCTCCCCCCTAAATAGACACATGCGCGGGTCGATTTGCAGATCAAAATTTTGCTTACCGCCATGACAATGGAATCAGAGACTTGTCTATAAGGATAAAGCTTCCCCCATGACAAGAACAGTCTGCACTTCTCTCCTCTATCCTTTTGCTCCTCCCTTCTTCACCACGACCATCATCAGACGCGAGCACGCCACCAGGGACTAGACACGAGGACAATACCATACACGAGCACGCCATCGTCCGCGAGCACTCCGTCTTCCGCGACGAAGCTGTCCTACGCGAGCTAGCCGTCCTGCACAGCCAGCGCGAGCACGACGAGGTCCACGAGGACGCTGTCCTGAGAACACCGCTGTCCGCGAGCTACGTTGCACGGATACTTGGATACGTATCGGATACGCGATACGGGGATACGCCCGATACGTCAATTTTCTAAAAACATGGATACGGGGATACGTTTATATATAGATGTTATATATATTAATTATTACAAATATGAAGAAAAAATTCAGGAGCTTTTAGGTCAAAGCATGCCTCAATACGATTACCCCTTTCTTTTCTTGCACTTAGTCCACTTTCATTAATTGGCCGTGAGATTTGACCAGGTATGCTGTTCCAATCAATGCATCGACTCTCTCTTGCTAACCTTTCAATTGAATAAAAAACATCGACAGACATGTTTTCACATGAAATCACGCCCATGTTGGGAATCTTCAAAGGTGCGCCTTTATTATTGAGAGGATTTCACGTCGAACGAGGGGTTTCAGGTATCCAAAATGTATGGCAGAAGTATCCTAGGAGTATCAAACATTATTTTCTTTTTTTAATATCAAAATATCCAGGGATACTTACGGGATACGTATCGGGAAGTATCGGGGGCAGTATCCGGCTGGATACGCACACTTTCTGAAGTATCCGCGCAACGTAGTCCGCGAGGACGCAGTCCTCCACCAACTGCCACCGGCCGTGTGGACGCCGCCATCCACGAGGACACTGTCCTCCATGAGGACGCTGTTGTCCCCATCTTCTATGCTGCCACTGCCGTCGTCCGCTAACACAAGGCTGTCAACCTCAATGCCCTCATCTTCCTCCTCGGCTCCTCATATAGATTTTCTTCTTCCTCATATATAGGTTGGCTTTCTCCTGCCAACTCATGGGTTTGCTGGTTCGCCATGGGGAAGAGCTGGAGCTGGACGGGGAGAAGCAAGCGGAAGGCGACGGATGGGATCAGTTGAGACTTGAGAGGAAGGAGGCGGAGCGTGCGCGACCCATGCGGAAGCGGAGGGGCAAAAGTGGAAAGATTCGATGAACAAAGCTTACGCGCAGACCATTGAGAAAAAAAGGAAAAAAGTTATGCGGAGCCTAAATAGGATCGGAAGGAGTAGAAGTTATTATTAAGGGATTAAATTTACAGTTAAAGACATAATTAGAATATATACAACTTAATAAGATTGGGTGGCTAAGATGGTTTGCAGCATTTAACCCAATTTGTACATTTTAGATTCAAATAAATGATAATACATAAATAAAAGGAGATAACTCAAAAACAAAAACTTAGATTGAAATGGAGCATGCTTTCACTCAGTACCGACTTACAGTGGTCGACTGAGTCAAAAGGACAACTTGAGCCGCTGCAGTACTGACTTACTAACTAGTAGCGCAACTAATCACACCTAGTTGACAGTTTTGTTGGAAGCCAAGTACCGACCTGGCGAGCAACTAATCAGAACTGATTCTAGGTCATTGTAAAGGGCATGCTAATTTGATGTCTCTTGTGTACGTATTCTAGCTTATGAGTTAACTCAGAACAACATGCCTGAAGTATGTCACAGAAATATTGTTATAATAATAATAATAGATTCATGTATTTATGCAAACCTTTCTCTGCTGAATCTCAGCCTCCTTTGCATCCAAAAATTGCTGGGGCACACCACTAGCATTCTGCTGCGCACTGAGAAGGAGGCTCCACAGCTCCCTCATGAACTTTATTGTGTTCTTCTCCATGAACCCTGTAAGCTGGATCTGTATGTACTTCCCGTCCACCTCCTGCAAAACAAACAAAAACCTTATAAAGCTCCTGAGCTCCTACTATTTATTATCAGCCCCACAGAACTAATTTAATCATTACACAACTATATCACCTATGTTTGGGCTGACTGGTCCATAAAAATCATATCCAGGCAACAAATAATTCGATGACATGGCCAGAAAAGAAAAAAACTAGTATGATAATGATTAGCTTTTACAGGTACAACCCATACTTGTTTCATAAGTTCACAAGAAGTTTTGGTAAGCTAATTCAATTGGTATTTTGCTAATCCAACTGGTATTTTGCAAATTGGAAAATGTTGTGGTTTAGCTCCACAAGACGGCTGTGATTACCTATCTTACACTATCCAAACAAGCCTATGCGAGACTTTAAACTTAGTTCCCGAATTACACGTGTATGATTTCAGTTTTCATTCCTGACTCCTGAGCTACACCATGAAGATAGTTGGGTTCGTAGCTTACAATCTTAAAGCTGAATGGACGAAATCCAATATATCCAGAGATGCTTTACATGAATATAGAATACAGAGTTTCGTTTTTAATTAATTAATAGGCATATCTTCAATCAGAAAATCCATCTGTGTTTGTTCAACGAGACCATAAGATGTAAGCGCCATTGCTCATGTTAAAGAAGTATATCTTCAGAAACCTCACCTTCGCATCGAGCAGGCCATAGATGAAGTTGATAAGCACTTCGTCCTCGAACCCAAGAAGCTCGGTGACCCGTGTGGCAATCCACGGCTTCATCACGTCCATCTTCACCTTTGACATGTCCACCTAAACCCAAGGAAAGAAACAAATTAGAGTTTAACTTGAACCCACGGCAGATAGTCCCCCTCTGGACGCCCATCGGCTAGAACCCGGTGGAGGCATAGGGCGAGAACGAAAAGGCTAACCTGATGGTCAAGCTCGGACGCGAACTTCTGCGTCTTGAGCAGCTTGGCATGCTTGTTGGAGAATCTGGTGTCCTGGTCGGCCGACGTCCCCTGCCAAAAAGCACGGCGAATCAGCGCACCTGTCACAGATCCGACGAACCGGAAAAACGAAGCGAGGTTGGCAAACTAAATCAATGCGGAGAACCGTAGCCGCTTACCCGGAAGAAGCCTCCCGACATCTTCACAGGCGGTACGGCCGCCGGGGCCGCCGCCGGCTTGGGGGGAGGATGCCGAGGAAAGGTGGCTAGGGTTGGAGCCTTTGGGAAGACGACGACGAGTTGGGGGGTGCAGGGGAGAAGAAGAGGCCGCAGGAATAGCTATACACAATAGCCCGATCCAAAACAGTCGCATGCCTCAGCTGCCTGGGCCAAGCCCACCGGTCTGTAGGCTTTCGAGTCTGTTCACTCGTAATACGTGTACATCATGATTCATGTTTTCTTTCTCGAAAAAAAAAGACATCACGATTCGTGTGTTCCTAAAATTTCTTTCAAAAATATGCTCAAAAAAAGCTGTTCCTAGAAATACCCTCAAAAAGAAATCTGTTCCTAATACCCTCAAAAAGAAATCTGTTCCTAAAAAAGAACGTCATGATTCTCTTTTCTTTTAATAATTCTATAAAAAAAGATAATTATTGTTGTTAATATTTACTTTGCCGCAGGAAGTCTTGTTGTCAATCTAACTCTAACCTTTAAGTACAAAATGTAGACGAAGTATCCATAGTCTCTAAACTAACATTGTTAGTCAGGGATCAACAGCGATGAAGATGAAAGACGGGATTGTTGACAAGACACTTAGCCCAGATTAACACACAACCCCCTCTTATCACTACAATAAGATAAACCTTGGACCTTGATGACCCTTCAACGTTTCTTGAAATACTTCATCTTCAAATCCTTCATCCTCGATATGTGATGTCATGGTGGCATTACGTGCGAGACCATGCCTTAACCACCAGATGTCATGATGCAGAGGCGGCGCCAGGGGTATGCTCCTGTATTCACAGGAATACCCAAGATTTTGATGCAAAAAAAATTATATGTATACATACCCAAGAGCCCGCGTTGCAAGAGGCCTAGAGCCCACGCCTCTCGCGGTCTCGCCCTCTCCTCGACTCCTCGTACGCATGCCCAGTCGCCCAACTCACGCGAGTAACCAGACACGGTCGCCCTGTGTCTGCCACTCTCCCTCTCGCCCGGTTCTGCTCTCGCCTCTCCTCATCTCTCCGACTCTCCCAGTCCCAGATCCCGCGTGGCCGCGTACGGCGTCCCGCCCGCGATGCAGCAGCCCGGAGGCGG